TATCCCCTTGGGGAGGATTGAATCAGAATCCTTTCTTAGCGGATGGCTACGTCATAACATCTACCTGCATGCCAAATTTCAGCCCGATCCGTCCAGTGGTTTGGGCTGTGCGTTGATAAATCACTATGTCAGTCACCTTTGAGTTATATATATTTAGATATTACATTTTTATGTTAAAATATGCGTAGTTAATTACATATTTTAGAATAAAACTACAAACGAGATCACAATAATTGTACCGTTACAATTTTCGATTCTTTTTAAATACACATACGAAGCCGAGGAAAACAGCTAGTGTTCCGTAAAAAAAAAATGAGATGTCGCTAATTAGAGAACATTAAAAAAGACAAACAACTGACACCCTTTCTATAAGTTGGTTGAATAATCAAGTGCAAACCTTTCAGAACCAAAATGTACACCTACTCATGTATTTTTAAGGCTTGAGTTTTACACAATGAACTTTTAAAACCAGCGTGTTACTAATTAGCATTATGAACTTTTCAGAACACACTCCTGTGTGTATGTTCTTTTATTTTAGCATTACGTAAACTTTCCTCATTGTACAAAGTTGGTGAAGCTTTCATTTTCCTTGCAACTTTGGGATCCTTTATGAATTTTTCTGCCAGTCCACCCTACACTGGGGCCATCCTATCTAATATTATAAATGTAAAACTAACGCCATAATTATTATTCACATAATATATCTAATATTTAATCAGGATAATGTAGATATAGTAATGAACAGATGCTAACATAATATAAGGCGCAACTATAATAATTCGAAATTTTAGAAAAATATTTCGCACAAAATAATAATTATAATAATCTCAGGACAATTCACACAGCGTCATCTAGACCCAAGTTAAGCTATCTAAAGCTTGTGTTATGAGTACTAAATAACTGATACATATACATAGATTTTTTTTTGTAAATAAATACATATTATACATAGAAAACACCCAGACCAACACAAACAATGATACTCATGAATACAAATGTTTGTGCCGTGCGAGGAATCGAAACCGCGACCATCGGTCGTAAAGCGGTGTGCTAGACAGCTAGACCTACGAGGTCGTCAGAAAATCTATGTTATTCTAATGCAAAAGCTATATTACTGTAAAGTTTTATCAAAATCTGTTCAGTAGTTTTGGGTGAAAGAGTAATAAATAATCTATACTTAAAAACCACGTACGATACTTGTGATATATAAAATTCTCGTGTCACAATGTTAGTTACCATACTCCTCAGAAACTTGACCGTTTTTTATATGCATATTTAGTAGGTCTGAAAATCGGCTACGATCTATTTTTCATACCCCTAAGTGATAAGGGTTGTCAACACTCTAAACATTTATGTTTAAATTTTTAGACATTTTTTTATCATAATTTTGCATTTCAAATCCATGCAACCCTAAATTTTCATGCTTCTAAGTACAACCCCTATTTAATAGCAATATTAGTACTTAAATTATTTGTCAAAACAACGTTAACCAGGACAGCTAGTTATTATTATAAATATCAGAATACAAATACAAGTAGAGGCACATTATATATGCATAAATAAATACAATTGTATAATATGTAGTATATATACTCCCAGAGTCTGTACTAAATTTGCCAGAAAAAAAATCAAATCTGTTATAAAATATTTTCTTTGTAAAAAAGCTTAGTATAAAATTGAAGAATTTATAAATGATAATAATGTTTTTGTAGAAAATATCAAACTTAAAATTCATAGCGCTGACAATGTTATCTGATTGAACAGAGATTAAGTGCGTAGCGGTTTCTATGTTGATTGTCGCATGCCTAATCCTTGTTGTTAATTAAATATAAGTAAATCAATAGTTATTGAAAAGAGTAACACACAAATTTCTTGCTCATTCCTCTTGTGATGAGTCTGCATTCCGAATGAGCGGTAGAATCAAAAGTGCTTATATTAAGTTTATTTGAATAAAGATTATTTCTATTTCTACACAAATGATACATTGAGGGCGGTGGTTTGTGTATAATTCATGAGAGAACCGAATCAATGAGGCGCCGAATTTACCTACATACATATTTATTTGGACTCCACTCTGGACATCACATATAACCCCACCCATTGCTTCGTGAGTATAGCGAATTGATGGTACACTATTACTTGTTGACCCGAGAAAGAATACGAGGTAACTGTTTTACTAATTTTTTCTAAATTGTTAATGTTTCAGAGGGAGATCAAGGAAGGGATGCGAAGATAGAATAGAATAGAATAGAATAGAATAGAATAGAATAGAATTGTTGCTAGGGACATAATAGAGTGTGAGGACGATATCCGGGACAGGATAAGTGGTGGACAAAAATAAGGAAAGGCCCCCACCACTACGTCGTGGGGTCAGCTTTCCTTATTTACATATAGCTAGGAAGAGAGAGAGACTACTGTTTTTGGGGGGAAACAAATTATTTAAGATTTTATTCAAACAAAAGAAATAGAAATATTAACTTTATTCAAATACTAGCTACTCGCCCCGGCTTCACCCGGGTGTACATGTGTTATACATATAAACTTTCCTCTTGAATCACTCTATCTATTAAAAAAACCGCTTCAAATTCCGTTGCGTAGTTTTAAAGATTCAAGCATACATAGGGACGGACAAACAGCGACAGCGATTTTGTTTTATACTATGTAATGAAATGTAACATGAGCAGTTTGAAATAGTCATATAACACTTTTATTTATTCTACCGCTCATTCTGAAAGCAAACATTACAAAAAGAACGACAAGAAAGTTGAGTGTTCTTGTTAGTGGTATACAATAACTATCAGATGGACCAAATGCTTCTTAAAACCACAAGGTCCTAAGGGTACTATAAACCAAAACACATATGACACTTTTTTTTGGACTACTCTAATGCTGGCCGCAGCAGGCATTTACGGCTTCACCGGACGATAGGGGGAGAGTGCAGATGACAGTCCAAACCCGTGGAAGGACTTATGGAGAGGCTGAAGGCCAACTCCCGCCTGACGGATACGACTTTAGTCTGAGGGCACTGCTAGGGGTTCGAACCTCGGTTCAGACCGTCGTAATATCGATCCCCGTTTGAATTAGACGGGGATCGATCGGAGGGGGCACATATGATACACATACAATATAATATATGAGAAATCAATAAAACGAAAAAAAAGATCTAAAAGTCATCATCATCATCATCACCCTGCCTTCATCACCTTAGACCACCGAGGCCGTCACTACCGTCCAAAAGCATACTACTTATACTGCGTTTACAATTTTGCAATAGCATATGCTGGTGGTCACTCTATTCTCCCAAATTTGAATTTAAAAATGAATCTGTATTATTGTAAACATGTACAACATTTATTTGAAAAGAATACGAGCTGAGTTTCTTGTCAGTTCTCATCTCGAAATCATTCCGAACTAACAGTAGATTTGATATATCATAAGAGTCTGTAATAGACCTACATGAATAAAGATATTTTGAATTGAATTGAATTGAACTGATTACTCTCTCTAGTATGCCTCCAGATTGTCACTCCATAATTGTAATTGTTCCTGCTATGTAGATATTCTGGTACCATAGGTATCATCTCAATTATTAACAACAGAAAAACAAAAGTTGTCAGAATCTCAATATATTAAAATCTATGTGATTATTTGTAACAAAACAATTAATATTAAGCTTAGATTAAGTCATTATTTTAATATAATTCATTTAATGTTCTATTATTATATTGATTAAATAAAAACATTCTTAAGTTTTAATAAAAATCACTAATTTAGTTTTAACTTCGAAATTAATCAATGAAACCAATCAATGTTAGGTATCTAATTAAATTACTTGTATTTTTGAAACCTAAACTAAGATTTCTTATAGAGATAAAGATCAAAAAGCTTTAGGTTTTGAAGCATCAAAAAGTGTTAGAAGCATCAAACTGATTTCTTTTATATTCAGACTTGATCTACGTTTAATTAATTTTGAAGATGGTAATTTGAAAATTAATATTAATTTTTTAATAATAAAATCTTTTTGTTTTTAATTTTCATGGACATTGTTTTATATACAAATGTATTTTTGTTGTGGGTGTAAACAGATTCTGGTGATTATTTTTAATAATAAAAATAAAGTTCTATTTACACAGCGCCATCTAGTTCCTAACGAAGCCGAGCCTATATTTTGAGTATTTAAATGTAAATTTGATTTTTTTGTACATACATATACAAATAAAAATACATAGAAAACATCCAGACCGATACAAACAATCATACTCATGAATACAAATGTATATACTGTTCGAGGAATAGTATCCGCGAGCATCGAAAGTGAGGCATGCTAAACCGCTAGACTACCGAGGCCGTCAAATTTTAAATACATAATATAAATAATAATAATAATCTCAGGACAATTCACACAGCGCCATCTAGACCCAAGTTAAGCTAGCTAAAGCTTGTGTTATGGGTACTAAATAACTGATACATATACATAGACATTTTTTATTGTAAATACATACATATTATATATAGAAAACAACCAGACCGATACAAACAATCATACTCATGAAGTTTGTGCAGTGCGAGGAATTGAATCCGCGACTATCGGACGATCTCCGAGGTCGTTATAAATGTTTACATTCCTACCATATATAATGAAAATCAGATCAAATCATTGTCAATTTGCCTCATCATTTACTGTTATTGTAACTGATCATTCATTCTATATATATTTATATTTGTGTATCATTCTCAAAACCAGCGCTAAGCAACAGCTGGGTTTCTTGAAATTGTATTATTTGTGTTATGTTGGCAATAAATCAATTATCTATCTATCTATCTATCATTCTCAATAACAGCTGGGTTTCGAGATTCTAGCACATAATCAAGTTATTATATAATTTAACTAGCTATTCGCCCCAGCTTCGCACGGGTGTACATATATTATACATATAAAGCTTCCTCATTAATTCATAAAAAAAAATCTATCTATCTATCTAAATATAAATTACCTGCATCCGTCTCATCACGAACGTAGCGTCGGTGTCTACTGCATCACCTAGAGGCACCTCGCAGCTCACTACCAACCCCTGCAGCAAATACAACCATTAAAAAAAAGAAAGAAAAAAAATTTATTGACAACTGTACCCGCGACTTCGTCCGCGTGGAATTTAACTTTGTTTTCTTTTAAATAAAAGTACCCTAAGTTACTCTGTGTTATGGGTACTAGATAACTGATACATATACAATGATATTTTTTTGTAAATACATACATATTATACATATAAAACACTCAGACAGATACAAACAATCATATTCATGAATACAAATGTTTGAGCCGTGCGAGGAATCGAACCCGCGACCATCGGATGTAAAGCTGTGTGCTAGACCGCTTTACATCCGATGGTCGCGGTCTATATACATATATATATATATATATATATATATATATATTTGAACAATATAGTATATCGGTAAGCAACAAATATAATAACAAAATTGGTAACTTCTAATACCCGAAACCAATTCATCAGAATGACAACTGGGACTAACAGGGACCTGTTGAGTATCGTCCTGTTTGCCACTAGTCAATAGGGTACCAGAATATTTAAAGATTTGTGGAACACAAGAATCTTTTCGATATTGCAGTAAAAAATCCACCCAATTTAACAGCATGTCGTCATGACTGCTCGTGGTACTCCCAATGAGGTGACATTTTTAGTCCTAAGATTCCTTCATATCCTACAAAAGGAAGTAAGTACCAGGTTGACTGCGAACAGAGGTGAATGGAAGAGAAAAACATATTATGTCGACCGCAAATAAATGGGATAAGGAAGAAGCAGATGATAATCCCTTCATATTCTGTAATTTTTCTACTATATCATGCTGCAGAAATGTTAGAAAAATTACATTGAAAAAAATATAATATTAATGTAATGACCTCGGACAATCTAGTCTCAAGCTAAGCTGAGCTTGTCTTATGGGTAGGTATAACTATTTGAAGATTTTTTAAATATCTATACATATAAATAAAATTGTAGTGTCTGTTTGTAATATTTAAACACCAGCGTAAACCGTTAGCACAAGCGGATGCACCATTTCATTATCATATACAAAAAAAATCCATCTTTTTTTGTCGTTATTTCCCTCCCCTGAATAAAATCAAAGATAAGTTTAACTATCCCTTCCTTCTTTATTCCCAAATTCATTATGCATTTAAAATAACGAGAACAAATGTATATAATGGCAATAAGGACGACACCTGACCGCAACAGCACCAAGACGAGCGAGCAAGACAAATGATGACGCATGGCCGCTCGGCGAATGATACCCGCGATCTGTCTCAAACACAACAAATTGAAGCCAGCACTCTCTACATCACTCCACCGACACTACACTAATCGAAAATATATCGATATTTTCTTTTCGATACATCGATATATCGATATTTTTTTTTCGATACATCGATATATCGATACATTTATTTTCGATATATATAATAGATTTGTTGATCCCAAATAATAAAGATAAGGCAATGTGAACAGATTTATCGATATACCAATATAAGTATAAAAATGTACAAAAAATAAGTAAGTTCAAACTACTTTTGCAAACAATGCGTCATACTCGTGAACGGGTGCTTCTTGTGGGGACTGCTCTGTTCGGATTACGAACACTGATTATACTATTAGCTTTAGTAATAGCATATACTGTGGGTCACATTATTCTCCCAAATTTGAATTAAAAAATGAATTTGTATTATTGTAAACTAGTACAACAGTTACTTGAAAAGAATACGAGCTGAGTTTCATGTCAGTTCTTCTCATCTCGAAATCACTCCGAAATGACGGTAGATTTCATATAACATAAGAGACCTACATGAATAAAGATATTTTGAATTTTAATTTGCATGAAAGTGATTAAATACGATTTTAGTTAAAATTGACTTAACATGGTGTTAAGTCCGCCAAATATATTGTGCTATATATTGTATTGTGTGCATTGAAGTTAAATAAATAAATAAAATCTTATGAAATTTAGGTCCATAGAATCTGTGTCTAAAATATTATTAAGCCAATTGTTTTTGACTTGATTATGGTTGGAAAATATATAATAACCTAGCTTTTGCCCGCGGCTTCGCTCGCGTAGTAGTATTATTATTAATTAAGTGTAGTTTTTGAGGCTTTAATATTATATAGCGTGTATAAAAAATTAGGGCCTACAAAATCTAAGAAGATTTATACAAACTTTCATCCCCTAATTTATCCCCTTAGGGGTGGAATTTATCAAAATCCTTTCTTAGGGGATGCCTCCGTCATAGTAGCTTTATGCATGCAAAGTCTCAGCCCGATCGGTTTAAAATTGACAAAATTTCATACAAACTTTCATCCCCAATTTTATCCCCTTGGGGGTAGAATTAATCAAAATCCTTTCTTAGCGGATGCCTACGTCATAACATCTACCTGCATGCCAAATTTCAGGCCGATCCGTCCAGTGGTTTGGGCTGTGCGTTGATAGATCATTATGTCAGTCACCTTTGAGTTATATATATTTAGATTGAAGATTGATATGATTATGGTTGAAAATATAAAATAAACACTGTATTCTTCCAAAATCTATTTCATATAATGATATATTTAATTTAGTAGGTACCGATATATCGATATGCATATTGATTATAAAACATCGACTATCGATAGTTTCGATACTTTCTACATGCCTACACAACCATAATAGTACTTGCTTAACAACGTCGATAATAACCGATTATTTGAACGAAATAACAAAAGCGTTTCGTTTGGGTTTCATCGATAAATCAAAGCATATAATGAATAGCTAAGTGTGAATATAGGACTGTATATATATGTAGCTGGTAGATATAATTATGCAAACACGAGTATTAGGAAGCAATATTATAATATTATGTACAAAAGTATAATCATTAGCAGAACAAGAAAGACAATGTCATATATATTTTTCTATATAATATAATAGACAAAATACATAAATAATAAACAAAGAGGTGCGTCGTGCACAGCTAAGTAATAACTTTCATATTGAGTTTTTTTTATTACTATACTATTTATTTATTAAGTTAAACAGGGCTAATACTCTGTTGTACATTCTATAGATCCTTATCAGGATTCGATATATTGTAATATGAAATAGAAATAGAAAAACAAAAAGGTCTTCATCCAAATAATCTTAATTTACTTTTGATGATATCTAAATATATATAACTCAAAGGTGACTGACATAGTGATCTATCAACGCACAGCCCAAACCACTGGACGGATCGGCCTCAAATTTGGCATTAAGGTAGATGTTATGACGTAGGCATCCGCTAAGAAAGGATTTTGATTAATTCTACCTCCAAAGGGATAAAATAGGGGATGAAAGTTTGTATGAAACTTTGTCAATTTTAAACCGATCGGGCTGAGACTTTGCATGCATAAAGTTACTATTTTGTAGGCATCCCCTAAGAAAGGATTTTGATAAATTCCACCCCTAAGGGGGAAAATTCTCAAAAATACATGTCGTATTTAGTTTCAGCGCAGAAGAATGAGAATGAGAGAGAAATATTACAGTTTCAGTTAATAAAAATAAATATTACTTTATTTTTAACTAGCTGTTCCCGAGACTTCGTCTGCATGGAATTTAACTTTATTTTTCTAAAATAAAAGTAGCCTAAGTTACTCCTTATTACAGCGGCTGCCTGCCAAAAAAAGTCCCGTCAAAATCGATCCAGCCATTTCAGAGATTAGCCGGAACAAACAGACCGACAGACAGACAGACAAAAATTTTAAAAAGTGGTTTTTGATGTATGTTCCCTATTTATATTCATATGCATGTAGTAAAAAACGGTTATTTCAATATTACAAACAGACACTCCAATTTTATTTATATGTATGTATAGATATATATAGATTAAAAATAAATATGATTTTAATATAAAAGGCTTATAACATTAGCTATCTGCGAGTGAAAGTCCCGTCTAAATCAGTCCAACCATTTCTGAGATTACTAAGAACAAACATACATACAGACAAAAAAATATTGTTTTTGATGTAAGTATACACTTTCACGTGCATTTAATGAAAAGCTGTTAATTTTAAATTACATACAGACATCTCAATTTTATTTATTTGTATACATAATCTTCATACAACGCAATTGTACGGATGACGTATTGCATTACTTTATTTTCATTTACGTGCACTGAATACGAGATACAAATCTGTTATGGATTATGAACCGAGCGGTCTCTGGGTAATCGCAATGGAAATGTTGCCAAAATTCACAGATAACTTCAAAACAACTGCGAAGACAATAAGTAGAAAAGAAAAAAGATAACCTCCGCGCTATGTTATGAAAGAAAAACACTGACAAAGCTTATCTTTGTATCTAGGTATATGTAGCAGAATGGCAATGGATTTCATAAAGAGTACGTAAAACTATGAAATAGAAATAGAAATAATCTTTATTCAAATAAACTTAATATAAGCCCTTTTGAATAGTCAAGTTTTTTTATTCTACCGCTTATTCGGATTGCAGATTCATCACAAGAAGAATAAGCAAGAAACTTGTTTGTTGCTCTTTTAAATAAACATTGATTTACTTATATTAATTTAATAACAAGGATTAGGCATGGGACAATCAACATAGAAACCGCTACGCACTTAATCTCTGTTCAATCAGATAACATTGTCAGCGCTATGAATTTTAAGTTAGATATTTTCCACAAAAAAATTATTATCATTTATAAATTCTTCAATTTTATAATAAGCTTTTTTTACAAATAAAATATTTTATGACACATTTGAATTTTTATTTCTGGCAAATTGAGTATGTTAGAGTTCACATCATTATTGTAGAAAAAATCAGATATTTTAAAATGATATTAAAAGAAGGTAGTTTGTATTTAGTACTAATGAAGTACCCAATGTAAAGATTATTACAAGTATTGCAAATAGCGCCATCTAGTATTTATAAACCGAGCTACTACACTGACTTCGGTCTATAAATACGGAGGTCGGTAGTTGAATAATCCTAAACATCAGATGGCAATTGTGAGTAGCTATGACGTGGT